GTAAAGTGCAGTACATGTATCTATCATATATGGCAACAACATACTAAAACGGCAATAGCATTCACATAGTATAGGCTTTTTTTCTTGAGAAAACTTTATTCTCAGAGCTATTACTGTACTAGCTAATGAGATGTACTACATAGCTATGATAAGAATTCTGTTATATAAGTCAAATGCTGTGCAGTCATTGGTAGACTCAAAATTAGCAGTCACATCTCTAGATTACTACTTTATAGTAACTGATGACTTTTTTTAGAGAATTATTTTCTCAAAGGGGTTTCTTGTCAACTAAACACCCTACAGTGCCCTACTAAAAATCCTACTAATTAAGTCACATCTTAGCTATCTACTCATATAATTGTTATGGCGATTCAACCACATTTCTTTTCTCTTATTTTTTTCATACTTATAGGTTGCTCTCATTTTACTCTGAACAGAGAATACCATACCCTAATATAGTAATGGAAGATACATTTTCTATTTTCCTTCCAAAAGAGGGCTTCTCAGAGGCCTCTATGGTGGCTCGCTTGCATTGATATAAAAGGAAACTGTCACTTGCAACAATAAAATATCAAAAGAAAAATATACCCTCTATTTTTCTTCTATTTTATCTGCTTTTATCATAAAAATAAACAATATTCCACCATCAGCTATTATTCTCCACCCAGTGAAGAAAGCATTGGTAGAGTATACTGCACCCGTAGAGAGGTATCCATAACTTTGAAAAGTTATAGATTTTCAATAAATTGAAGTTGGGAGATAGGGGAAGCCAGTACCCCAAAGTTTTGGAGGGGGGACATAAGGGCCGAAAGTGAAAAAGCAAAAAATACTGAGCTTCTGTAAGCTATTTTCCAATATGTGGGCGTAGGCATCTATATGAAGCATGAAGGTTACAAGTAGAAAAGCAGCAACTTCAAGGTGGCATCATATAAAATTGGGGGTGCCATCATAAGCTAATAAGAAAAAAATCTCTTACCAGATGCAAAGGCAACATCCTTATTCCGCCCCAAAAATAAGAGTTGGGTTAGCCCCTCCAGTTTTCAATTTTTTTAAAAGTCAGCAGGAGACGCGTTGACGCATCAGTAGGGGGAGGACTTAGGAAAAAAAAATTAAAGTAGGCTCCAAACATTCTTTTTTTCATTATACAAAAAACGAGCATAATTCAGCATTGAAGTAAGCAGAGAATTTGGCTAGAGCAAAGGAAAGAATGTAGATCATGCATAACTAGGCAAAGGATGAAAATAGACAAGAAAAAAAAAGGAATATAAGAGCGAGCTTTAATTTATTTCCCTTTGTCGTTCTAAATCTACTAAACAGGAATTACAGCGGTGTACTGTATACCAACGATTTGATATTGAACGGTTAAATGAACCACTTCACAAGATTAACAGCAGCCTAATTAACAGATAGTGTTCAAGATGGGGCTAAGTCGGAATTGATGCAATTTTACTATTATCTATTAACAAAATAGATACAATAGAAATTGAAAAAATAGTATAATAAAAAATGAACATTGATAATATAAATATCGAATTTAAAAATAAATTAATTTTTGAAAATTTTTATAAACTTTTATAATACTTATTTAAATGAATAATAATGATTAACTCTTAAAATAAGGTAAGGGTTTTTTAAAAAGATTATTATTTATTACAATTTATATAATTCAGGCCAAATAAAAAACGAGATACTCTCTCTTACATATTCAAAAGAGATTAATTTGCTCTATTTTTTTAGTAATTTAGCTAAGTAACTTTTCTATAATATTTCCTAAGTTCATATTTCCAGCATTACATATGTAAAACTTATTTGTTCTTTTTTTTTTACTCACCTTCTTATGACCTTCTACTTCTACGTCAGATTCATCCTTGCCACTACGCCTCTTACTCCTCTTGTGTAACGCCAGCTCTCATCCCAAAAATGCGCCAGTAATTTCTGAAAAAAGTGTAGTTTAGAATGTTGGCAGCATAAGTAATCTTTTTTTTGTCCTTCTAAATTAGTTTTTATTTTTTTAAACAAAAATATCCTTCTTTTTTTCCTTTTTTATATTTATGTGAACATACATTATCATCTATATTGACATAAATAAAATAATCTGAGTCAAATAAATTATTTATTTTATTTTCTATTTTTTTGTTAATAATATCTATAACTTTTATATCTAGAAAATATTCACATTCTAATTTTAACATATTATTTAATTCTATTTTTTAATTATTTTTAATATTATTTTTATCTAAGGGTAAAACTTTATTGAAACAGACCATGTTATGTTATTGTGATTACTTTTTTATAATAAAAAAAATTCAATTTTTAGAAAAAAAAGTAATGGAGTTTGAAATTATTAATTCGATAATTAAATTTAATAGCTATTTTCAAATTACTACCAATAATGACAAATCTATTGGTGTAAACTAATATAGAGCTAAACCGATAAGCCCTCGATGTGACGACATTGTTAACACAGAGCAGTAAAAAAAAACAGTAGGTACAGTATTTCGGGTGTAACAACCTTTGTTTTTTCCCCTTGACTAATCTTGCGAATCAGTCTACAAAGATTGACAGCCAAGGGATGAACCAACATGAATATACTACTAATAGCTAACTACAGAGCTGTGCAAACGAAGAAAAACCAAACCAACGGTGTGCTGTCATTGCCGGCTTTCCTGACACACTGCTTTTGCTTTGCTGCTTTTGTTTTCGACGACGAAGTTTCAACAAGATTCATTAGTCAATGCTCAACAAATTGGAGAGGCTCGAACATTTCAATTCTCAATGGCTAGTCAGTAATCTGCAAAACGATCGACGATTACGGAAGTCCTGATGCTGACATTGTGGATAAAAGAAGGTAAGAAGCCAAAGCGGTTTTGCTACAGTATATTCTGCATCTATGTTGGGATCGCGTTTTTTGGATAGAAACGTGCACACACGATATATACATGCACACACACGATATGCGCACACACTATATATATACGCACGCATATGATATGCGCACACACAATATATATATGCACGCATATTATATACGCACACACACGATATGCGCACACACACAATATACGCAGACGCACTTAATATACACACACACAAAATACGCACAGCCAGAAGATGAAGCAGCTGCTGGATATGGCGACTACAATCAGTGATGCAATATACATATATGCTGTTTGGAGTGTTGGATACGACTGTGGGCAAGGGGTTATGCTGGATTGATGTACTCCCTCTGCCACCGCTATGGAACGTCACTATCATCAACGGAACGACCGATCTGTTACTCAATGAAATGAAGCACGAACTTTACATTTGCTGCGATTTATGTTCAAGCAATCGCACATGGATGCGGGGATATCGGCCAACGATAGTAATCACAAGTGTACTCAAAGAATTATTTACCAGAGGAGGAATAGAATGGAAATTGGTAAGTTAATTTATAAATGGGGATAGATCATAAAATGAATATAAAGAGGAAAGAATAAAGATCGGAATTCAAGGGTTATTTTGACGACGGAAATTGGAGTTTTGGGGGAGAGAAAGTGTATTTTTGAGGATGGTATCCATGGCATTAGCCTGTTGAATCATCTCTCGTACTTGTTGTGCAGTATTTCGTATAGTGTCTGCTTCTCCACAGTTGATCATCGATTCTCCAACATGACGTTCGATCGCTGTGATCTTCTTCTTTAATGTTTTAAGTTCAGCTTCCAATTCGTCCTTTGGTGTAGGTTCGGATACTTGCTGTTGGTGCTGTGATATTTGGATAGGTGTGCTCGGTGATGCTGATGTTGGTGAGCGGGTGTTGATAAGTCCTTGCCAATGTTCTAAGGATGGGCAAACTTTTATTGTCGAAACCTTTCTCACTGTAACAAGAAAACGTTCCAGTAGGAACAGGTGCTTGCAACACATCTTGCTATCTTTGAACTTCTCGCATTCACAATGAATGATTCTGCTGTTCTCAATGAGCACCTATCCCATATAATAGGAGTATCAGATTATAGCTTGAAAAATGCTGGAAACCTAGAAAAATATAATGATAATCAATACATACGTCATACTCTTTTCTCTGGGTGGTGAAGGAAGCAACCTTATAGTGTATATCTGACACTACTTTTACCATGTGTTGTAAGTCTGCTTCGCTGTAATCGACAGCTTTCAGTTCATCTGACCGAAATGAATGCTCGGTCTTGCTCATACGCCCAACGCCTGCCCACAAACGCTCGACTTCTATGCTAATATCAAAAGCAACATCGGATGTCAAGACATAGATCAAGTAGTCAAGATGATGGACCCGTTTCTGTTGCAAATAGATAGTCTTCAGCTGGTTGTGCCAGGATTCAACGTAATTATTCGTGGCTATATTGGTGAACACTTCAGGCTCGTGGCATGTACTCCAGCGGGTATATCCATCACTATTAAATGTATCTACCCAATGTGCTCGGAAATAAGACGCAAATGATGGCTGCTTCACGCCATACTCGGAAAAGAAGGTATGTAAAAGGCGATGGAATTTTTCCATGTCCCTTTCGTACATTAGTTCTTGTAACTGTAGCTTGATGCGCGTTCGTTCTTGATGAGCGTCGCTTCGTCCATAAGCAGTAACTTTCTCTTGGACATGCTTCATCCATACACGCATGACATGCCAAAGGCAATGCTGGATCTTGCAGTCTGGCCACACCATGGTAATTGCATTATCCTCTGCATAATCCTGGTCAATCGTGATGCCTTGAGGACTAACACCGTATTTAACAAGAGGATCGGATGACTTGTCATCAGTAATAAGGTAGGCGACAGGGACACCACGACCAGCAATTGGATGGCGGATAACCATAGTATACAGAACGCCATCTCCATATTGAGATACATCGTGTGTTGCATCGAGAGAGATATGCTGCCCAGCATTCACTAGTAAATGCATCTGCTATGGAGCAACAAAACCAAAACCAAAGCTGACAGCGGAAAGCAATTGACGGCCAGTGTCATCAGCATATAACCAGACATGATAGCCCTTATGTTCGAGATCTTGTAGCCAGTATTTGACGGAAGTAAAATCGTCCTTGTCTTTAGCACACTCCTCCTGTCGAAATTTATAAAAGATGTTATAAACATCAACGGTGTGGAGATATGTGTCTCTCTTGGTGCTTTCAAGATGCGCATGCTCACGTTGTAAGTAAGTGCGCACCTGACGGACGTTCTTGTATTTTTTTAATTCCTCAATAATGCGCTCCTTTAAAAGTATCAACTTTGGCAAATATTTGACATCTTCAATGGTTCCAGGAGTATGCCCAGTATGGTCGTTGACATACTTGAACTTTACAGTGTCACGGTCGCTCATGTAGCATATGACCTTGAGTTGGGCCTTACATCCGACTTGCTTACTTTGTTGCTAGATAGGACGGATCTCGGTAATTCCACGTCTGTTGTCACTGGTGGCATGGCGATGGCACTCATACTGCTTTGACCAAAATATGGTGGAGGATTTCTGTCTTTTTCTACTACCAGCTTCGTTTTCTTCTATTGTATATAAGTAGATGCCTTGGACACTATACTTTCTTATTCTTTTCTTACCATCGTCAATCGTGATAGTGACTGTCGGCTGCATAGTCTCTTCGCTCTCCGTAGCGACACTGGACTCTCTTCTAGAGATGATTTTTTTGAACTGGTCGCTTTTATAGTCCCCCTTATATATCCAACGTTCGCCTGTTTCTTCGGGTTGACGTAAGATAATATCTTGGTACTTGGAAACGGGGCACGAACTGGGGCGTTGGCTGACAGAAATAATAACAGGGCTCAGTAGCTCTTCATCGTCGTGATAGTTGTTAGTGTTGTTGTTGTTGTCGTTGAAGTTATTATTGCTCATTTGGAAATGGCGAATGTCAAAGGAATTGGCTCAAAAGTAAATACAAAGTCAGGCAACTATATGCAGTAGTGCTCGAGTAATACAAAAACACGTTTTAGCTGCTTCGAAATGCTATGGCATACTCCTATCCCTCATATCGGTAGTATGGTATTTTTCTACTAATCTTTAATTTAGTACACTATTTCATGTAAAGTATTTTTTATTGACCTTTTCTATCCACAATCCAAAATTTTATAGAACACTTCGATCTTCACGTATCCGCTCACTTACAGCTGAGAGCACGCTATATGTATACGTAGTAATAGATCACAGTATACCACTTAAATATTTAACTATCCCCTTTCATAATTGTATATAGGTAGGTCAACTGATCTGCCCTATTCTATGTGCGATCGCTCAATCGTTTGATATATGGCTGTAAAAAGCATGATGGTGCTTTATACGTAAGGACGAATATAAATCAACACGAATGTAAAATGCTTCCTTTCATTTAGTGACAGATCAGTCGTTCCGTTGATGACAGTGACGTTCTATAGCGTTGGCAGAAGGAGTACACATCAATCCAGCATAATCCCTTGCCACAGTCGTATCCAACACTCCAAACAGTATATACAGTATGTATATTGCATCACTGATTGTAGTCGCCATATCCAGCAGCTGCTTCATCTTCTGGCTGTGCGTATTTCGTGTGTGTGTCTGCGTATATTGTGTGTTCGTATATCATATGCGTGCGTGTATATATCGTGTGTGCGCATATCGTGTGTGTGCATGTATATATCGTGTGTGCGCGTTTCTATCCAAAAAACGCGATCCCAACATAGATGCAGAATATACTGTAGCAAAACCGCTTTGACTTCTTACCTTCTTTTATCCACAATGTCAGCATCAGGACTTCCGTAATCGTCGATCGTTTTGCAGATTACTGACTAGCCATTGAGAATTGAAATGTTCGAGCCTCTCCAATTTGTTGAGCATTGACTAATGAATCTTGTTGAAACTTCGTCGTCGAAAACAAAAGCAGCAAAGCAAAAGCAGTGTGTCAGGAAAGCCGGCAATGACAGCACACCGTTGGTTTGGTTTTTCTTCGTTTGCACAGCTTTGTAGTTAGCTATTAGTAGTATATTCATGTTGGTTCATCCCTTGGCTGTCGATCTCTGTAGACTGATTCGCAAGATTAGTCAAGGGGAAAAAACAAAGGTTGTTACACCCGAAATACTGTACCTACTGTTTTTTTTTACTGCTCTGTGTTAACAATGTCGTCACATCGAGGGCTTATCGGTTTAGCTCTATATTAGTTTACACCAATAGATTTGTCATTATTGGTAGTAATTTGAAAATAGCTATTAAATTTAATTATCGAATTAATAATTTCAAACTCCATTACTTTTTTTTCTAAAAATTGAATTTTTTTTATTATAAAAAAGTAATCACAATAACATAACATGGTCTGTTTCAATAAAGTTTTACCCTTAGATAAAAATAATATTAAAAATAATTTAAAAATAGAATTAAATAATATTTTAAAATTAGAATGTGAATATTTTCTAGATATAAAAGTTATAGATATTATTAACAAAAAAATAGAAAATAAAATAAATAATTTATTTGACTCAGATTATTTTATTTATGTCAATATAGATGATAATGTATGTTCACATAAATATAAAAAAGGAAAAAAAGAAGGATATTTTTGTTTAAAAAAATAAAAACTAATTTAGAAGGACAAAAAAAAAGATTACTTATGCTGCCAACATTCTAAACTACATATTCTTAAAAAAAGAAAAACATAAACATTACCATTAAAAATCAATAAAAATTATAAAGTTGTAAATAGCAAAAAAATAAAAGAGGATATTAAGAAGGTCATTAAGAAGGTGAGTAAAAAAAAAAGAACAAATAAGTTTTATATATGTAATGCTGGAAATATGAACTTAGGAAATATTATAGAAAAGTTACTTAGCTAAATTACTAAAAAAATAGAGCAAATTAATCTCTTTTGAATATGTAAGAGAGAGTGTCTCATTTTTTATTTGGCCTGAATTATATAAATTGTAATAAATAATAATCTTTTTAAAAAACCCTTACCTTATTTTAAGAGTTAATCATTATTATTCATTTAAATAAGTATTATAAAAGTTTATAAAAATTTTCAAAAATTAATTTATTTTTAAATTCGATATTTATATTATCAATGTTCATTTTTTATTATACTATTTTTTCAATTTCTATTGTATCTATTTTTTTAATAGATAATAGTAAAATTGCATCAATTCCGACTTATCCCCATCTTGAACACTATCCGTTAATTAGGCTGCTGTTAATCTTGTGAAGTGGTTCATTTAACTGTTCAATATCGAATCGTTGGTATACAGTACACCGCTGTGATTCCTGTTTAGTAGATTTAGAACGACAAAGGGAAATAAATTAAAGCTCGCTCTTATATTCCTTTTTTTTCTTGTTCATTTTCATCCTTTGCCTAGTTATGCATGATCTACATTCTTTCCTTTGCTCTAGCCAAATTCTCTGCTTACTTCAATGCTGAATTATGCTCGTTTTTTGTATAATGAAAAAAAGAATGTTTGGAGCCTACTTTAATTTTTTTTTCGTAAGTCCTCCCCCTACTGACGCGTCAACGCGTCTCCTGCTGACTTTTAAAAAAAATTGAAAACTGGGGGGGCTAACCCAACTCTTATTTTTGGGGCGGAATAAGGATGTTGCCTTTGCATCTGGCAAGAGATTTTTTTCTTATTAGCTTGTGATGGCACCCCCAATTTTATATGATGCCACCTTGAAGTTGCTGCTTTTCTACTTGTAACCTTCATGCTTCATATAGATGCCTACCCCCACATATTGGAAAATAGCTTACAGAAGCTCAGTATTTTTTGCTTTTTCACTTTCGGCCCTTATGTCCCCCCTCCAAAACTTTGGGGTACTGGCTTCCCCTATCTCCCAACTTCAATTTATTGAAAATCTATAACTTTTCAAAGTTATGGATACCTCTCTACGGGTGCAGTATACTCTACTAATGCTTTCTTCGCTGGGTGGCGAATAATAGCTGATGGTGGAATATTGTTTATTTTTATGATAAAAGCAGATAAAATAGAAGAAAAATAGAGGGTATATTTTTCTTTCGATATTTTATTGTTGCAAGTGACAGTTTCCTTTTATATCAATGCAAGCGAGCCACCATAGAGGCCTCTGAGAAGCCCTCTTTTGGAAGGAAAATAGAAAATGTATCTTCCATTACTACATTAGGGTATGGTATTCTCTGTTCAGAGTGAAATGAGAGCAACCTATAAGTATGAAAAAAATGAGAGAAAAGAAATGTGGTTGAATCGCTATAACAATTATATGAGTAGATAGCTAAGATGTGACTTAATTAGTAGGATTCTTAGTAGGGCACTGTAGGGTGTTTAGTTGACAAGAAACCCCTTTGAGAAAATAATTCTCCAAAAAAAGTCATCAGTTACTATGTAAAGTAATAATCTAGAGATGTGACTGCTAATTTTGAGCCTACCAATGACTGCACAGCATTTGATTTATATAACAGAATTCTTATCATAGCTCTGTAGTACATCTCATTGGCTAGTAATAGCTCTGAGAATAAAGTTTTCTCAAGAAAAAAAGCCTATATACTATGTGACTGCTATTGCCGTTTTGTTATGTTGTTGCCATATATGATAGATACATGTACTGCACTTTACAGCACTGTAGCTACAATATTGCACCTTCTAGAAGTCTTAATCCACCTTAAATAAAGCTACTTTTAGTGATTTTTACATATCCTCTTAAGTAATGTCCAAAATAAGCAATGTGACTGTCTTCAGTAAAAACATATTTAGATGTATATACATCATCTGTATATACCTACAAAGTTTTATAGCAATAGCATTAATAATAGATGAGCTATGATCTATAGAAGGAGAGATATTTAAGGATGGAGTAACTAAAAAACACCTATATACCAACGCAAAGTTTTGAAAAAACTAAAGCATATATGTCTGCTGTTGCTTAGTCCAGGAAAACGATTAGCCGTCGGGAAAACCAATTACCTATCTATTTCCTTTTTAGGAAGTCACGTGATCTAAGCCACTTAGTAAGCCCCCGGGAAAATGTTTAGCTGTCGGGAAAACCAATTAACTATCTATTTCCTTTTTAGGATGTCACGTGATCTAAGCCACTTAGTAAGCCACTGAGCCACCGGGTAAATTCCTACAGTCACCCCTTGGGGGCTTAGTAAGTGGCTTAGATCATGTGACTTCCTAAAAAGGAAATAGACAGTTAATTGGTTTTCCCTGATGGCTAAACGTTTTCCCAGGGGCTTGCTAAGTGGCTTAGATCACGTGACTTCCTAAAAAGGAAATAGACAGTTAATTGGTTTTCCCAACGGCTAAACGTTTTCCTAGGGGCTTACTAAGCGGCTTACATCACGTCACTTCCTAAAAAGGAAATAGATGGTTAATTGGTTTTCCTGATGGCTAAATGTTTTCCCGGGGGCTTGCTAAGTGGCTTAAATCACGTGACTTCCTAAAAAGGAAATAGACGGGTAATTGGGTCCCCGACAGCTAAACGTTTTCCTGGACTAAGCAATAGCAGACATATATGCTTTAGTTTTTTCAAAACTTTGCGTTAGTGAAGTGGTCTAACGCACTAGCCTTATGTCCTACCTTTGGTAGAAGGCGTGAGTTTAAATCCCCCTTTTGCCAAACTTTAGTATAAATTTTTTTTGAAAAACTAGTTTTTGCTATGATCTAACCAATTCTGATTATTTTCATATAAATAATATATCATCAGATGCAGCTTTTTGTCCTCGTTCCAATAAGTATAAAAGCATATATTTTTATATAGTAAGTCTATAGATGATCCTATTGCTTATACATTTATAGTATTATACTTTTTAGATATTTAAAGAGCATCTGTAGTAGTATAATGTAGAGTAAACTTAAAACTATTTGTTTTATTTGAAACGAATGAGTATCTGATAAGATATGAGTACTTGA